TATTATTTAATTGCAATTGTAAATATACCAGTTGTGTTATTGAAACAAACATAGAAAATAATAACATTCTAACATTAATTATTAATTCTATTGTTCTAAACTAAATATTGATAGCTGAAAAATCTGCTAGTTGATTCTTATCTATATATAAGTGATAATGTATAAACGTAACTATATATTTGAGGTATTGTGGCTGATTGGGTACTATTGCTATATGAATTATTATACGTTAGCTTAAAGTGGAAGATACTGTTTTATATTAAAGCTATGTTGACTTAAGAATAAATCGACTTTACCTAACAATATAAATAGAGAAATACCTGTATCCCATTTAACATATAATACATACTTATTATAAATACAAAAGTATGTGTCTCTGTTACCTTTTCACGACTGAACAGTCGAAATGGTCTTAACGATATTGCTGGTAACGGTTAAGTATAAATGAGAAGTGGTAATGATTTATAAATATAAATAGTTAATAATAACGAGGCGAGTTTCTATTTATATTTTGCAGTTTAATATAAACTATAAAACGTGATACTGAAATAATTTTAATCTACACATTTAAATATATATTTGTATAATAAAAGTAACTTTTAAGGTAAATATGCAAAGAATGTTGCCATATGTATTATAAAACAATAATCATTCTTAATAATTCTACGTTCGTAACACCTATAAAGTGTTTAGTGATAAAATCGATTTATTCTTAAATAAAAGAATCATGTCCTCGGTCGAGAATTTGTAATATTTCAATAAAATTAACTATTGTAGATACTGGTAGGCAACACTTTTGTTTATGTCAAACATGTCGGCATAGACAAAAGTGCTGACTGCGAACTATTGCATTTTATATATGGTTTATGATTCAACAAAAATAATGTTTATGTATGGGAAAATATTTAACAAATGCTATATAAAATTGATATTTACAACATAACTGTCTATTGGTAAATACGATGACATCTTAATTGGCTGATAATACATAATGTTAACATTTTGACACGCTCCCGAAAAACGCGCGGGAAAACGGCGTGTCGAGTTACATAATTAAAAAAAATAATGTATGGAGGTAATACTTAATCTTATTAGAGGTAATACTTATATTATAAAAGCATTTAAAACAGTTGTTTGTGAATACGTTTGTGAACATGGGGTTATAAAATCTATGGTATAAACACTTTTTTTTAATTCGATATAAATTATACAATAAGAAAATGATCGGTTGATATTTCATTCTTTCATTAAAAAACGTTGCAAAAATGATATATTGATTATGTATTCCAAAATGACATTAAGAGGTTAGAGTTTACGTCACTAGGTACCTAATTCGTTTTATATGATATAGTTATTTTTATGAGCTAGTGTTGTACCTAGGTATAAATTATTTTTTTTAATATACTTATCTATGTTGTAAGGACAAAATATTGTTTTAAGATCTTTTTAAAATTTCTTAATTTATTTCCAAAATCCTAATGTCATTTTTTTTAAATATGTGTATAGGTATCTTATATATATCTACCTAGTGTATAGGCTATTGTAATGTTGTACTGTAAGAAGGCATTCCGTTGTTGATTATTTGTGCATTACCCTACTTAGTAACACAGTCGACTTATAAAGTATTTCTCTGTTAAACTTAACATAATTGGCGAAGAAGCGAAAATTATATTGCGAACCTGACGGCGTACATTAAATTTAAGAAAAAAAAATGTTCTCACTTTAATCTTATCTATAAAAAAATGCAGTATTTTGGTATACATTGCAAAACATTTAAAAACCTATTGTTAACGCTGTTCTCATCGTAAATTTTGATACGTAACCGAGTTACGATATTAGTTCCCTAGCTGCGATTGTTTTTTGCCGACACATCCAAACTTAACATAGTAAAAAGACCTAACAACAATCACCAACGGCTGTCTCCAAATGGTTGTAGTTCGCAGCTGTTCATTGAGATCAAATAATTTAGAAATACAAACACCAAGAAACGATACAAAAATTGGTGGGAAAAAAAACCAAACAAGCGCGAGGCAGCAACAATTAACGCGGTCGCACGCGCGCTTCAGAGCAGGGGTACCAACCATACAAGGATTCTCGTGATACGACATTTTCTTGCAATACAAGTTTGTACGACATTTCGACGTACAGAAATAATTTCGGTCATAATTTGATGACGTAGTCAAAGAGCCAAGATACGAGACTTTTTTTACTTCCACGCATGAGGCTTAATATTTTTAGGTTGGCAACCCTGCCGCCAAGTATTTGTACAGCGAAAACAATAAACACAAAACGTTATAAAGTTTTGGAGCCTATACTAAGTTTCACTATTAATAAATCCATTAGTAGAATATATAAAAATCCTTTCCAATTATGTTCTCTATTTACTATATAGTTAATAATATCACGAGGCGTTCATTCCCAAACGATGCCGCGATACATGCGTAGTGTTTGTAGTCACTAACGTATAATATGTACAATTCAATCTACCCGCATATTTTCTCTTCTAAGCTCCAGCTAAATGTTGTAAGACGTTTTCGTACCCATGTTATTGCATTTACTAGAAACACCGAGCCCCTACCTCGAATATGTAACGTTTTCGAGTTCGTTCCGTCTCTATCTGACCACCGTAACATATCCGTAGTTAGAACGAGACGGTACGCTCAAAAATTCGCTGCAAGGGCTCTATCGATACTCGTAAGAATAACATTCGATAAAAAATATAAAAACAAAATAATATATCTGAGGTATTACGAAACACTGGAGGTATACGCTTGAAACCCGGGTGTAGCCAGTTCAAAACCCGAAAACTAACCCGCGGTTTAATTTTAAATTAACATCTATTTTTAAGTTGAGGTTATGAGAACTTATGTATAAACTATCTGGAAATAACCAAATAACTTTCCGTTATACTTAAATACATATCACAAAGTACGAATATGTAACATTCCGAGAATGAAAATAAAATACGAAAACTTAAATTATTTCTTTAACCCAAGTTACTTATATTGAAAAAAATAAATGCAAAATATAATGTTGCTCTGAACGATCGAACGTTTAAAAACTGCGTTGCTTTTTACTGCTCACAGAACAGATGCATACAACAAATTTGTTTCAACGGTTTTTTTGTAAACTGTTTCAAAAACAGGATCACTTTCAGTGAATTGATATGTTCCGAATCGAGTAATGAACAATATTGGATATGGCACAAGGTTATCAAATCATTTCAACACTTGTAGAATTTCAACGTTTCCTTTAAATCATTGTATATAAGTTACTGAAAATAAGTATGTAGATATCTCCTTATGTTTCTTTGGCTTGTGAAATATCACGGTGTTAAATACTTGCATTTCATATGTATCAGTAGAGATAGATGTGATATGTCAAACTAAGACTCGTTTCGTTCATCTACGAGCATATGATTCTAGTCTATGATATTATCTGTCAACGTTCACCCTGAGAAGATATGTATGACTTGTGTTTCAAACGAATGCGGTTCTCAAGTAATTTCCTACATATATAATGTAAATAAAATAATTTTTATACAATCTGCAGCCATCTTATGGTTAATTCTAAGATTTTTGAGAATATAATAATAATAATAATAATAATAATCTAATAAATTTTCAATAACGTGACGTCCTCTACGTTGGTCAACATTTAAATAAGAGTCACTATACACTCATAGAGAGAAATCCGAAAATGGATACAGGTTAAATATAATTCTATCAATTATTACCTAAAGTCTACGTAATTTTATACAGAAGAAATGATTAAATTTTACTTCATGATTTCAAATCATGCACACGTATACGATCGTCGAATCCCTATCCGAAGACCTCGCACAGGCTCAAGGGCGCATCTCTACTTCTACGTCACTTTACTCACTCATAACCCTGTATTCTAGGGGCCCTGGAGGCCCCATCGCACGTTATCGCTCACTGTTCGCCGGTCCACCGGCAATCGTTCCTCGTTCCTCGTTCACCGCCTCCGCGTCGCGTCGTTCGTTCTTGAGCGAGTCTCCGAACACCATCCAACTTATGGCATCAGACGAACGAAGGCACGGCTACTTATACATTGATGACTATTATTTACTGAAGCTTCATACGCACATACAATAGATTTATTATTATATCGTTCAATTAGACGTAATTTTGTACTTTCGAAATCAGATTCTAGGAAGTCTTTAGATTTTTACTCAACATTAACATTTATTTTTTATTCTCTAATTTTTTTTTTGTAATTAACTCCTAAATAATCTGTATTTTTTTTTTCATTTAAATTTGGCGTTCCGGAAAAAAGTTACTTTAAAAAATATTTTCTTTCCACTTTAAATTTACTGTTTAAAAATTTGCATGTTCCATTTTGTACAGTTATCGAATCTAATTTGACACTAGATAATTATCGAAAAGTGATTTAAAAAATTGCATCTTCTCTTTAGAATACAGTTGGCATTACTTTGGCAGTACTAGAAATATTAATACTTTAGTATTGCTCTGGATTACATTGTCATATTGAACACTGATGGAACATTTCCACTAGAAAATGTCAGTAACTTGCGTACTGTTAGTCACAAGTCCGAACTTTAAAGCGTACACTAGGCGCTGGGCGTGCCGCTAGGCCGCACGCGACAATACTGCATGTAATTTTTAAAACTAACGTCAATATTTTACTAATTATATGATGATGAATTATAAAGGTGGGTAAAGTTCGGGTATGAGCGGCATATTCAGGGTTGCACACAGTTGTGCTATCCCTTTGCGTTCAAAAGTCGATGAACATACTAAATACGCCTTATCCCGTGGCCAAGTTCATTTGGAATAGGGAGTTTTACCACCGAATTAAGCCATGGTTCGAGGGCCGCATGAAGGCCGGCGCAGGAAGCTGTGGTCCGTGGTCGCTGGCGCCCAGGCTTGGTCGAGGTAAGGTGGGAGGGTGCCAGCGCGCTGTAGCGCCGACGTCTTCAGCAACCGCTTCAGCATCCCGCTGCCGGTGTTGCAGGCTCATGTAGTGCACAGCGAGTTCTTGGTTCTGTACCTTCGGTGGCAGAACTCGCACACGTACAAAGTATCAGACTGCTCGTGTTTGTCTTGGAAGTGTCGTTTCAAGGAATAGTAACAAGAGAATGTCCTGCGGCAGTACGGACACTCTTGAGGCTCGTTGATGCCGCCAGCTGTCGGCGGAGGCATACGGAGGGGCACAGCTGGAAAACGTAGAAAAGAGTAAATTTTCAAACGAGTTCACTTCCAGATTGGTCAGCGGCTGCTAGAATTTGGGAGTGTATTTTAGCTGGCAACACACACGAGACAGATTAATGTAGACAAAATTTGTAACAATGTATATGTACTTGAGGTTATTTTTATATGAGTACGTAGAATGTATGAGGTTAATAATAATAATTATAATACGAATAATATGCACTGTACACATTGACTAACTACACAGTAATCAATGAGTTTTTATAATATTCAAAATCTGGAAATCTTCAACCAATGACACAGAAACACGTGATAACAAAAATGATAGAAGCATGCTCCAAGCAACAATAACAACGTCAAAAACTGCGAAACCTGATGGAGGTGGGGCCTTTGGCTTTGGGACAATAGAAAAACAAATAGAAACAAAAATGTCTAAAATCATGAAGTTTAAAGAACTAAACCAGTAAGAAAACTAAAAGGACTAAACCTATCTCAGTCTAGTCAGATAGAATATATTTGTTAATGAGTTAGCTTCATTTACCCTATGTTGTCTGCTGTATAAACAAAAAATCAACCTGTGATTGATAAGTACGGCGGTGGTGTGCAGATTGTTCTGTTGGTTCCTTTGCTAGATGAATACTGCTGCACGCTGCGCCAACTCCGTCCGAGTAATAAAAAACCGGATATCCTCCGCCCCGCCCGGTCTCGACTTGTGGTACGTGTATATGTGTCATCAGAGAGTTCCTCGAGCAGTAGACTACCGCATATGGTACATCGGTACTCCTCCTGCCTCTCGGGCGCTTGTCGGCAATGCCGCTTCAGCGATGCCTTCGAACACAGAACTTTCCCGCATATTGAGCACGTGGACAATTTTACCTGTAAACAGATCGGCAAAAACAAACAAATGTGGGGGTTGGTCCGTAATGCGCTCAAATAAAACACGTCACCTAGCTGGGAGTCTAGAATTTTCCAAATGGCACATTCACAGGTTGTTACTGTTGTTGTTCAAATTTTGAATTTGAACCAAACATAATTAAACAGTGAACAAAGTGACTAAATTATAAAGCAGTGAAATAATACAAAAAATTTTAAAATAAAATTAAATAAATAGAAATGATGGCGAAGTTGCAGCAGTCGATGATGGTGTTAGAACATACATGCAGTATAGTGGAAACTACACACCGCACAAGACCGACAATGCAAAGCTCGGACATACAAACGCAACTCTAGTAGTCAAGCGGAGGTGGTCGGTGTACAGAAGCGTGTGCACTCAAAGTTGACGGTGGACGGTGGACGGTGGCAAACAGCGCGAGCGCTGTCGCTCGGGGCGGCCAATAAAACTGACAATATGATTTTTATGTATTTGTTTCTATTAAAAACGCCATTATCATCAATATTAGATTTATGAAGTTCGGTTTAACGATTACAATTACATTTTATGAGTTACGTCAAGTATCTTTAATAAAAGCAGCAGGCTGGAATAGAGTCATTCATACAATACAATTATGTGATGTTAATTCATTTCGATAATAATCCACGCAGGCGTGGTTGCAGTCCAAATTGGCCTGCATTACAGAATACCATTTATTGAATTTAAAACTGTATCACGAAAGGTGCACTCCTGTTATTGTGATGCAAAGACACAGAAATATCAGTAGAAGACGAAAATAAAACGTCATTGAGACGACGGCAATA